GATGCCTGACGGTGACGGAGTTGGATCAACTATCTAATAAGGTCTTGTAAGTTAGTATGCAAGCAGATAAGTTTCGCAGTAATCAAAACTGAATCATTTTACGTTGGACTAAGGTTCGCGATTGCGCAGATCGTTGAGAGGTACACCACCAGATCTTCTTTTGCAGTGGTTGGCATTTGAAGTTAGGTCGTGTTGTATGTTTGCTCTCTACTGTTCTGGCCCTGGTGGTCTCCCGTGTTTCATCTTATTCCTTCGGATGCTAAGGTTTCCATTAAATCAGTCTGTTCACAAAGCTATTTGAGGGGAAGATACATCAGTTTGCTCGCCTCCCCCCAATGAGTCGTTGGCCATCCGTTGCCGCGTACCCGCTGTCTTTAACCGAAATTCTGTATGTTCGCTCTTGCTGAATTTCGACCTACTTTCCAATGGTGTTCCAGTGGTGTCATTAGCTCATGCTGAAGTATAACCGTCATCGACCGAGGACATTGAAGTTAGGTGGAACTGGAACTTCTCAATCGCTTGTCACCGATATTGTCGCGAGAGAGTTCCTGGTGGATATAACTCCGTTGCTCCCGGTCGGATGGATCCGCTTCTTCAGAGGATGTTTGAATCTCAGGAACACCGTAAACAATAAGCGTCCATTATTTATCAGATCTGCGAACTTCTTCCCGGTTGCGATCATCATTCGGACGTTCTTTCCACGGGAAATCCGGAAGTATACGCACCTCATGTGGTGAGTTATGTAGCCGAAACGAAGACAGTAGAACGGCCCCTGTGTCATCAATGGAAGTCATTGTCACCCCGAGAAGTCGGGGTTCAGCGTAATGAATTGAATATAAGTAATCTGGGACCCGTCTCAGTGTCGTGGGCTCAACTGAAATGCCAATTGCACCACAATTGGAATTCCATTAAGTACGGTCATCCACCAGCTTTCCTTTTATGGTACTAGACTGTGAATCAGGATCGTTCGTGCACCCAACAATCCACGGACCGTGAGTTCTTTTCTTAGGTGCAAGTTTGAGGGTATTAACGGATACCATTTGAAACATTTTGGTTTCTTGTGGAAGCTGGTTCACCCTAATACGGCTCGGTGCTGCTTCCGGAGTTGTGGATATTCTCTCCGGAGTTCAGGTGGAGATGACTGATGTGTATGGTGCGGAGCTTTTCTCTAAGGTGGACGAACTCGAGACCGAACCCTCCATCATCACAACTGGTTTGATGTGGGCTGAACTGCTGAAACAGTTAAAGTAGGCCTATTTAGAGCTTGTCCACTCAAGGGAATAAGGTGAACCAGAGCATTTAGAGACACAGACGCTGCAGTGCGGTTGGAGTGTCTAGATCTCTTCTCCGAATTAACAGTGGGCCTTAGGTTGGCTGGTTGACGTGTTAGCGTGGTAATATTTACTTCCGAGGGAGCGATTTTAGTATTCACAAAATGTGCCATTATCTTAGTCAACCTATCGCACTTCTTCATGAGCAAAGATAGACAGTTGACAACGGGAATGAGTTGACATGTTGGACAAAACCAAATTGTGTCAGAACCTTGGTTTATCTGCCTCGCTTCTTTGACGGATTTCCCTATATCTTGCGGAAGGTACGATCTAATGCTCTGAAAAGCGTACGCAGAATTGAGCCATGTTTGGAATGCTGGCTGCATCGTCGCCCTTTGCATCCAGATCTATCCGAGCCGTCGATGTGGTACTGGCGCTCAAGTTTGAGCCAGGCGTGAGTCAGGCATGCACGTGACACAGATACGTCAGGACACGCACACTAGGTGAGATGGCTGACAGCCGGTGGATGGAATGTGCCAGATCTTGTCCTGATTTTGGTCATTTGCCCGCACCTGTCAAATGAGCGGTGCTTAGAGTGGTCAGTGGAGCGAAGGAGGTTTCTGCGCTGGTCACCGCGCAATGGTTGACAAGGTCACAAGAAGTGGCGATTGGCTTTAGGTGATCGATCAACTCCAACTTGTTGAGTAAGCAACGTAGTAAGAAACGCGAAGTAGCTGCAGCGAATGTTATTAGGGAAGAACGGTTTTTGGTTGACTTGATCGCGTGATAACACGACGTAGGTCGTGCTACATCCCAGCTAGCTTGCAAATTGGGTAGCGTAGTCGAGGTTCCCAATAATTCAATGGCTTAAGCTGCTGGCTACTTGGCATCTACCTCTAGCGGTCATGGGTTCGATCCCCGTTAGGGGACCAAGGGAATGCGCACCACTGACAAGTCCCAATAGGGCGAAACGCGTCTGGTGCTTTTCCGGACTAGGCTGTGCTATGTAGCTTGTGAGCAGCTGGGACGAAAACAGTACAATTACATGGTAGTTATGTTGGTTGGCATGTAACGATAGCACATAAACTGGGTAAGAGGATAGGTGATGGGAATTAGGACTTAGGTCATGTTATTCATCTTGTGGATCACGTGAACCTTAGGTTGCGAGGGCAAGTAACAGTTAGGCGTAGGGTGTGTAAACAAATAGTTAGTGGCAATCCAGAGTTAGCTCGCGTCATGCGTCTTCGAATTGCATGGTAAATTTACCCCAAATCCAACGGAGTTTCCTCGTATTGACCCTACGTTGGTTTCTCGCTCTGGTTTGCTCGAACGCCGCTCCATCCCACTGGCTGTAGCGCTCTTAAGTGAAGCTGATTATCTTCAGTACTCCAAACGAGTTAAATCCCTCAATCCACCAGTGCCAAGCCTTTTCAATTTTACCAACCACAGCAGCCACGGGCTTAATAGATGTTAATGCAGTTTTCACTAGGTTACCAGAAACTAGCATCCGAAACGGTTGCTCCATGTCATTAAACCATACGCTCAATCTGTTACATGAGCCGGTGCAATCACAAGCGGCAAGATAACACAAGTCATCAAAGCAATACAATGTTTCTTTTTAACACAGTCAGATGTTACCGGGCTATCCCAGTTGTGCTTCGGTGTGGGCCGTCGCACAGCAGGTGGGGAATCTTCGGAGGGGTTCAGAACCCCCCAAGCCCATGGATTCACGTTAAACTTCCGGATCCGTATGGAGACAGATATCCTCTGGCGTGTCATGCTCAGTGCAGTTGTTTGCTACGTCGATAACAACTAAATGATCGGAAAAACTGCTAAGGCAACCTAAAGCACATAACTCCACTTCCGGTGTCTCGCTTGAATTTGGGGCAATGAGTACTTCGATTTGTCATCCGTGGAGTTACCGTTGCGTGGTTTAAAGACATCCACATTGATGTACAGCAATGGGCCGCTGACGAAAGAATGTTGTTCTCTATCGATGAACGATGGGTTGTGACAATGGTTGGTGTCCGAGGCCTCTACCGATGTCATTCCCTCAACGTTAGTTATCGCATTACTTTCGGACTCCTGATGACCAAAGTAAGACTCTGAGGAAGGACCAATATTTGATGATTTAACATGAACCACTGAATCAAATTGAGATGAATCGTTGGTAGACGCATACTCAGTATCTAGCTCCAAGCATACTTTACTCACCTTAACATCGAGCACCGCCTGTTCCAACTCAGGTTCTGCCATCCTTAAGTCGAAGACAGCGCGTGGTAAACCTCGGATGTGCCTACTTTTTGTACTAGCGCGCGAACCAGAGCAAGCAACTAAGTTATCAACAGGAGAAAAAGGAGTGACTTCCGAGGTACTTCATTCGCTCCGGCAACACTCTCGGATGATTTTTCGCCAGTTGCCATGGTTCAACTACGCAGGCGATTGTGTCCGGTTGGCACAAAACCTGAAGACAGCCTGCCGAGTACGGGACACTTCCACCAAAGTCAGTTTGTGCTCCAATCGACCGATCCAAGCCAAGACAAGGTTGTCGAGTACTAATACGCCAATTGACACCAAGATCCCAATGTTGAGTACTTGTACTCCAATTGACACCAAGACACGGCTTTTCGAGTACTTTAAGCAACAACTTCGCTTGGGGACTCAAGTGACGCGTAAAAACTCTCAGGCTGGACGAGTTGCACAGTGTGAGTAAACGGTCTCCACAATGAGAGGTGAAGTGATGGCAACATCGATATGAGTTCACATGAGGATAATAGGTAAGCCGGCGCTAATGAATTGGAGCAGGTGTCTACTTTGGCCATCCAGACTGTGATCCCGACATGTGGCTTGCTAATTCCATAGTAGTTATGTCGGTTGGCATATAGTCGTGGCACATAAACTAAGTGAGAGGATAGTTGATAGGAGTTAAGGATTAGATCACGTTGGTCACCTTGTAAATTACATAATCCGTAGGTCGGGAGGGCAAGTAACCATGGGGCATAGGGTGGGTAAACAAATAGTTTGTGGCAATCCAGAGTTAGCTCGCATTATGCATCTTGCGAATTTATCGCTTGCAAAAGTTTCTCGGAGTTTTCACTAAGCAATATCATCTACGCTGTTATGTCATATTGGTGTATCAGATCCTAACATATCTCAACCACGCATACCGCCACTTATCAAAACAACCACGACACAGTTTAAAGTTATTCACACGGTATATTCGGTTGAAATGTTCCGGGACTTTCGTTCTTCCATGTATCCCAGTAATGGAGCTCTCCTCCGACTTTTGTCACCTCTGTTCCCACATTAACCAAACTTAAAAAGCAACATGATGGTGCATTACGCTTCCTGCGTTACATGAGTCAGACTAAGCTTATGGTTACAGGTTAATCTAAATTTGCTGGTTAACTGCTGGTTATTTCAATGATGCGCGTTCCGTTGCACCACTAATTTTTGTTTTCACTCGTTACGGGAATATTTAAGCATTTATTCATTGACTAACAATAACTCCTTAGCTCATTTCTTCCGATTATCCTTATATAATGTACTAGGTAGGCTAATCCATCAGATAATTATTGAACAAGTTGGAACTGCCTGCTAGGTCGGATCTTAGGTTTTTGCTGTGAACGCATAAAAGATGGTTTCTTCCAATGCGCTTCTGTTCTACCAGCTTGAGGTGTGGCAGCATGGCTACCTAACACATATTCAAGCCCCAGGTGATAACAAATGTGAATCAGATATCACTGTACTTTGGTAATAATGAAAACGCCACAAATATAGTGCTGTGCCATCGTACAGGTGAGGGAATTGGTTGTATTCTACGCCATGTGGAAGTTGGGTCAGTACAATTTACAAGAAGCGGCCACCAAGGCGTCCAATGCATTGACCATTCCGCGCGAGACCTCATACGGCATCTTTCACGATTCTGTTTTCAAGGACGTTTCCAATGATAATGAATGCCTTACCCGTGCTTCGGTCATCTGACCTGGAAAGGAAAAAGTTGCATGAAGCGTAATTTCTCGCTTCTACTTTATCAGAGTAACGGATACTGTAACCATTCAAGTCAGTCATTCTCACATCAGCTAGACTGGTTGCCAAACTGTGGGCGGGTGCGCGCGTTCGAATCCCTGGAGACCACATGACGGTTTGTAAATACATAAGAAGACACTCAACATAGACAGGTTGTGAGTCAGGCAGCGTTGCGAACAAAAGCTGGAGTTTAAAACCATTGATTAATCAAGTGTACCTGGACTCACAGAGATACCAGGCCATCAAGTTCAAAACCGAACAGTTAAATGACGTCACACAACAAGAACCCAGTAGATAAAAAGTGTTTCAAGTTTTATGCCATAATAGCACCTGAGATGCTCAGTGCGATTGCTACTCCTGAAGACGTCACTATAACATTTAACACGCATGTTAGTGCATTATACCAAGCTTGTAGCGTGGCACATTTTCGAAATCACGTGAAGTACTTTCAATTTAGCAAAACTAAGAACGCTGTTTTGGCGTCGTTGACACTTTCATTGGTCATGGGACGTTAGCCAATGGGACACCGGTTGGAAGCCGCGAGCATAAGCGACAGACAATCCAATGAAAGTGGTCGAGCACCACCTTCTGTTCTATTTTGATGCCTATCTGAAGGAAACCTCGATGATTGGTCTCCAAACTGAAACCGTCCAATGCGCAACTTGTGATGCCTGTCTAAGGAGGAGATCCTAGCTACCACATGATCCGAAGCTTAAGACGTAACCAGTGCGGACAGACATACTAACCAGCACATGAAGCGGTCTATAGTGATCGCTAGCGGCTACCTGGTGGTGGCTTATTCAGCGGCCTAACCATGGTGGCGTAGACAGGCAATCATCTAACTGGTATTCCGCAGTTCAGCAATGGCTGCTAGGCGGTTAGACAATTGTGTGCGATTGTCATTGCGACGACCATGGGGGACATTGTTCCCATTGAAGTTGGTAGACCAACCTGAAGCTGAACAACGAAAGTTCTATGTTTGCTTACTTCGATCACAGTTGATGACTCAACAAAAAATAAGAGGATTGCAAGTGTGGTCTTGACACCACGTTAGTGCGTGTTCGTTTGTCGCCACACCCATAGGCGACTTTGTTAATCAGCTATCGCTTCAGTGTCTCCATGTATGGTATTATGTAAAGGTCATAGGAACCTACGTATTCATAGGATAATTAGGCTTCACTTCCGTATGATCGCCCATACCTGTTTAGACGTTTTGACAAGTGCCTCTCCGAATGGAACCATTAGAAACAGAGTCAGTGCTGATGGAACTTCCCTATTACGTCCATGGACTGGCATGCTATGTTTATGAAATCTGCAATCTTCAACAAAGAAACATCTAAAGGGGCTACAATGACTACGGTGTTTATACATGCCACATCGTCCTGCTGGAAGGAACGCAAGACTTATAATTAGTGGCGACGCAGGCATTTTACTCCAGTAATTCAGGTGAGTACTTGGAACAGACAAACACTGTTGTCTCACCCACGGGCGTTCCTACAATATTTTTGCAATCATTTACAAAGGCAACCGCGCCCACTAATCCTGCTATGGACTACTGTTTCAGCTAGTCTTAGAGGCAGTCACGTGTGTACGCCGTGGCACAGGTTGTTATCGACTTGGCAACTACTCGGAAACATTTTGCCATTGGAAAGTAGGTAATCCCGGAGGCATTGTTGAAGGAGGAAAATTGCTCCAAACTCTATGCTTACTATGCGTACACAATGCGCATTGGCAGCTCATATCAGGCCGTAGGGTCACTTGGTATTTCAACCTTATCAATCACTTGGAAGTGAAGTGTAAATATCATGTTGCAGCGCAGGATTGATATGCGTTTTACTACCTTAACACCGCGGCAAGTCCATGGGTCCTGTAGCGGTAACTGATTACTGAAGTGGCCCACAGGTGTGGAGATGAAAGAGCACTCACTAATGTCGTGTCACCGTCACACTAGGAACCCTCCTCTTGGGAACAATGGCTACAGATCCACTGATGGTCTTACCTACACAGCGAACTTGGCTTTAGTATACAATTCGCTGCCTACATCAGCAGTACGTAGCTACGCTATTCACATGAGTGTACGGCCAATAGAAAAAACACAGCACGGAAACCTTATAGCTGTAAAGGTTTTAAAAATTCTATTTGCGAAGAAGTCCTAGCTTTACCTTCATACGAATTACTGCACTGTTTCAGATTACCTCACACTGCCTTACAAATCACAAGCATATCCTAAGCGAAATCGCACACCTATCGATTCTCCAGATTGCTCGCAGTGGCAGGAGTACACTATACTTACCGTATCACGTGTGGCCAGATAAGCAAGTGTTCAAGGAAGGCAACCGTGCAGTCAAGCCGTAAGCCTACAAAGCTTCTCTTCCAACAGCTTGCAAGTGTTGCAGCCTCAAGAAAACTACCAATCCGCTGCTTATTATCACTCACTTAGATGCCATTTCGCTCGCGTGTACAGCCCCAAGACCACAGACACTGAGCTGCTGAAAATTTAATATGTACAACGCAGAAATAGGCAACAAAACGGATAGTGAACAACTGCTATCTATCACAACTCATGACTCACCCACAACCACCCAGTTCAGCACCAAACCGACAGCAGTATAGCCAGAAAGAAAACAACCTTTTGGAATTTCATAATTCCACAGCTTTTTGTACTCCGAATATATTGCCTTTCCTAGACAACCGTATACCATCACCTTATCTAGTACCAACCCAGCCATCATCAAGTACCATAATAAGTCAAAAAATGGTCTAGATACCGGAGTCACTACTTTACTCAATTCAATCCAATGTAGTGTTCAGTGTGAAACAATTAGTTATAGTGGCAAAGGATCTAACAAAACCCACCCGATTTGGTTCTAATCTAACAGTTACTCTCAAAAGGTTTGCCATCAACATTCGCTCTTTTGACCCAACTTATAGTTGCTTTCAACGCGTATGCTTGTTAAAACCTCCAATATTACTTTTATTACTAAAACTTGATGCACGTCACAAACTAGTGATTCACAATGTTTGTCTTACCTTATCAGCTGCTGCTCAAAGAGCACACACACAAAACTGTCTGTGTTACAGCCATGGCTAAGTTTATTTGATTGAGTTGCCCTCACTGACTTGGAAGATGCACAATGGCTGGTGGTCTAACCTACTAACCTTTTAGTAGCCTGGATCAATCGGCCGCCCTGAGCTACTCACTATTAAACCTAACAGCTGGTTGATGAAATTAATACTACCCCCGCACTACTTGCAAGTTTGAAATTAGACACGGAGATACCAAGCTGCCATATGCTACACATTTGCTGCCAACATCTGGGGCCCTGCAATGCTTGCAGAAATTAGCTCTTGTATTTGTTCCCATAGGTGGATTCAGAATGTTAGCCTACTAGACGTACCGGTACGCTAAGTCAAGAGTTCACGACGGGCGCCCTTCAAGTTATATATTCATTCATAATTCCCTACTGAGTTGCGATTAAAGCACAAGGCTTTGCAACATTATTATTGAATTCCGGTCATAAAGTGAACGTTACTAACCATTCGTAACCTTCATCGAGTTGGTTGAATAGCATTTAATGTACTTACCAGTACGGTAGCTGGGACATATTGTTCTCAACAAGCTGGGTTGAATGCTGTCCTGCCGTTCGGCCGCACTGTATCCGCGTCATCACTAAATTCGGATTTACTATTCCAATTTTCGTGCAAACGTCCATTCGAAGCAAAACAACGAGCGCTACTCCCTGTTCCTCATCTGTGGCATTTATACGTTTGATCATCTTATCACTCTAACACAATATCTGCGTATTCTTCGCCTGGAACTACTTGCCAAAACACCCGGACTTCCGACCTTACTCCCAATCGTGTGCAAACAATTGGTTAGAAAGTTTAAGGGCGCTCCAAAGCTCGGTTTATCGCCATTAGCTGTCATGTTGCGCGGCAGTCGCAGCCGCTTTTACCACCCTTGAGTTGATTCTGTCTCAAGGTTTGTTCCTATCAATAAACTCATCTTTAATACCGAGGCACCGAGCTACCGCCAATCGGTTTTACGCAGCCTGACTGATCGATAAACATTATACGGTCATAACAAGATCTGCCGCATTCAAGCCGCCGGCCGTCAATCATCTTACCGTATGTGTGTGTTTTGAATGTTTTGCACCATGTGTCAGCGCCATTATCAATGTGACTGCTCGGATAGCTGCCCGGCAAACGACAATGTCAGTAATGTAAACGCCTTGGCGATCACCATGCCGCCCACTGCCTGCACATGGAAAGCTAGTCTAGAGCAATACGATGCATGGTAGTTGTAAAGGCTGCTTTAATAATGTCCTAAAACATCCTATCCTAAGTGCTGTCTCCTTAGCCTAAGTGAGGTCAACCAACGAAATAACACTACATGTTCCGCTTGATGTAGGAGAGGCGGAGTGCTCTTTTAACACCGATCTAACCTGCATAATGATAGCATCGACTATATAGATACGCAAGTTTTTCATTCGCAGTGGCGTTGCCTGCGCCTGAAACGTGACAATGCAACCATCGAACCACGATATAGTAGGGACACAAAAGCGGATGCCTAGCAAGTCCCGTAGGATGGCCAGAAAGAGAACCGTAACATGGTGTACAGAAAGCAAAGGAATAAACGGAAAAGCTTTTTTGTGGACTCCCCACAGTGTTAACACAGAAGCATGCAGAAAGAGTCAAACTCAGTCGTGTAAGTTACTTCTGATTGCGCAACCTTCGTCACATGACATCGTTTGTCGGGACACACAGCTATATCTCGTAATGTAGGTGGGTTAGAACGACACTAAAGCGTCTGTTAGTTGGGGGCGGAAGCAACGTAATTTGGGAGAGCTTTCCATGGATGGCACACACGAAGAGAGTAACAGTGTTTTCGACATTCTAGCCGACTGTATTGCGGGGCCAACTTGATCTGCTGGCCTGTCAAATTCGTGTGATGGC